TCCTGGGGTGCATGAGGCAGAGTGTTGCCAGCAGGTGGAGGGAGGTGATGCTTCCCCTCTCCTCAGCCCTGGGGAGGCCTCACCTGGAGTCCTGTGTCCACTTCTGGGCTCCCTAGTACAAGAGAGAGCTGGCACTACTGCAGAAAGTCCGGGGAGGGCTACAGAGATGATGAGGGGACTGGGGCATCTCTCCTGTGAGGAAAGGCTGAGAGGGCTGGGCCTGTTTAGCCTGGAGAAGAGAAGACTGAGAGGCGATCTCCTCAATGTGTACAAGTGTCTGAAGGGGGGGTGTCGAGAGGATGAGGCCAGACTCTTCTCCGTGGTGCCCAGTGACAGGACAAGAGGCAACGGGCACAAACTGAACCACAGGCAGTTCCATCTGAACCTGAGGCAAAACTTCTTGACTGTGAGGGTGACCGAGCACTGGCACAGGTTGCCCAGGGAGGTAGTGGAGTCTCCTTCCCTGGAGATATTCAAAATCCATCTGGATGTGATGCTGGGAAATATGCTCTAGAGAGCTTGGACTAGATGATCTCCAGAGGTCCCTTCCAACCTAAACGATTCTGTTATTCTGTGATTGTGTGGATAGCAGAGACTAATTCTTAATGGATCATTTATCAAGCAAACCGTTTATTAAAAATAAATCTCCCCATTCAGCCAACGAGTATTTTTCTGTTAAATGCTTTGCAAGTGTTTGGGTGTATTTGTTTTTCAAATTTCATGGACTGATACCAATTCAATGCTACACTTCTGTTGCCTGACTGGATGGGATCTGTTCCAAGAATTAGGTGTCTTGTCTGACTCTTTCTTATAGTTAATTCAAAATTCAATTTCAGGAAATATTTTTAGATATTATCCGAAAATGAATTGTGGTAACACACAAGCCTGGAAGTAAATTTCTGTGTATTTATAGAGAAGGAATTTCCTACTTCTCACACTCCCTATATCTCCCCTAGGTTAATAGATATACTGCTCTTCCACTGTTTCTCTACAAAAGTGTAGTTTTCATCCTCAGAGCTGACTCACAATGAATTGTATGCCATTGGATTTTGTGGGAATTCTTCCTATAGTTTTCTAGCTGCATATGGGTTTAAGCCAACTGTGAAAAATTTCAGCCCCAAGGCAAATATTTATGGAAGTAGGAAGGTGGCTGTTAACCCTAATTTGACTTGCTTCAGGGTAGCGCAATACTGACAAAATCTCTGTTGATGGGATATATGTTGCCAGAACATCATTTCCCCATGCAGGCCACCAAAATGATGGACTGCCAGTGTCAGTAGAATCAAAGGGGTCAATAAATGTATTCACCCAGAGTAGAGAGGAGGGCATCAGGATTTCAGGGTGACCTAGTTAGTAGAATTTTCATTTGCCTCTGTTGATATTCTTTTTTCTTGGGCGAAGGAGGGGCCTCTAAGGACCAAATTGAGACACAATAACACCCCCGGAAAGCCTATGGAAAGCCAGTGCAGCTCAAACTATCTGTTAGTTGGTGGCCAAAGACGGATGGCTTGCATTTCTCAGGGATGTTGCATACATATTCTCCTTTGGTTGGAGGTACTAATGAGGGAGACCAAAAGGGAATGGATATTTCTAGCATTGAAAAGCATATCTGGACTGAGAATATTTAGTGCTAAAAAAAAGTCTAGAAAGGAGATAATTGCAAGTTCCAGGATTTAAACTTCAAGAGAGTAGGATGAGGTCAGTGGAAAAGGCTGTCCACATCATACCTAGGGTTTTCTGTTTTTTTTTTTCTATAGAGTGAGGTTTTTTCCCCCACAAACTGACCATTCTTGGTAAGATAATGTTGCACAAGATGGGCAGTAAACCTGCTTTAGTCTAGCAGCTGGGGCTGCTTTGCCAGGGCTTGAGGGCTCAGATATAGCATCCAGTGGCAGCAACTTAATGCATAAGGTGACTAGCAGGAGTTGATCTTATGCATTGGTCCAGAACAACTGTAAGATAAATTGCATTAGTTTAAATGTCACTGAAGGACGTTTGGCTGGCATACACCAATTCATTAAGCTACTTTATTCCTCATATGCTAGGAAAAGGTAATAATTTCAGTAGACTGAAATAGGATAGGGAGTTTTCACTGCATGAGACAAAAGAGAGAGCACTAGGCACACCTCCTTTAGTCAAGGGTTGGTACGGGACATCCTGTCTTTTAAGTGGAAGAGTGAAATGTTCTGTCTTTCCCCCCTCTGACTGAGTTCAGTCACTGAGGAGCAGCCCCCAGTAGTATCGCTGCTTATCCAGAGCAACAAACAGCAGCATTAGGCTCAAGGGGTGAGACTAGCAATGGGAAGCAGACTTCGTTCACCATTAGCATTCCTCACAGAGAAAGACTCTGGTAGATAGAGCAGGCTGAAATACCTTCCATCAAAAAAGGAGTGGTTGAGAGATTTTTTTTTCTATGAAGAACATTTGTGTAAAACTGTCCTCTGCCTTTTTCCAAAGAAAACTAGAATCCTCTCCCAATCAAACTTTTCTTTGCTAAATAATGTTTTCCTTTTTTTTTTAATGGGTTGGTTTTTTTTTTTTCTGAGGGTAATGATTTTTTTTTCCTGAGAAATTTAGAATATCAATGTTTCTCTTGCATTTAAAAGCAATTTGTAACTGGGTTTCACCTATAGACCTGAATTAGATATTAAAAGTAGTCTTAGAGAATTTGATCCTGCCAAGGGTCTAATGTACTGCCAGCAAAGTCATTTTAGTCTTATTGCAAAATTTAAGCTCATGAATAGCTCTGCTAACCTTATAGAGATGGTATGAATGCTAAAAGTTAAGCAATGCTCACCTGATTGGACCAAGTTTTCAGGGTTGTAGGACTGAACTGACAGTTTGGAAAATAGTCTCTTCCTTTTTTT